TTTATATTTTAAATAATAATAATAATAAATGAAAATGTGTTAGTATTTTAGATTAAATCACATGATTTTTAGAAGCTAGAGATTTGTGTGTTGATTTTGTTATGTTTGTTCCTCCTTTGTTTTAGGAGAACCATATTGAAACTATCAATTGTGAAAATTTGGAAAGCCTTTGTGTTGTTCTTCTTAATAAAAATCAGCTGACTTCTATTCATGGTCTGGATGGATGCATTAATATCCAAAATCTTGAACTTTCACATAATAAAATCACTCGAATCAGTAAGGTCAAATTTAGTATTTAAACATTTATTTTGCATGATTGTATTTTGTTTCATTTACTGCTTTAAAAAAATTGTTCCCAGCCCTGACTGGGGTGATATCCTGGTTGGTAAATTTCTTCCCTTGAAAGCATGGCTACCTTAGTTCAATCTCCTCACACATGTAAAAATGACAGGTCTGGGGCTGTGGGGCTCAGTGGTTAAAGTGCTTGTAGCATACTCATGACTTCCGTATTTCAAATCCCCAGCACCCATAGGTATGCAGACCTATCTGCAATTCCAGCTTCAGAAGATGAAGACAGGATCCTCAGAGTACATTGGGTCATGTAGCTAGCCATATCAGTGACCTCTGGGGTTTGATTTGGAGACCCAGCCTCCACATGAATAAGGTGGAAGAAAGATGAAGAATATTTAACCTCCATTATCAACTTCAGGCCTCCACATGCACACACACACACACACACACACACACATGTGCAATTGCAATCGCACCTATGTGTGCATACGCATGCAAACATGCATACAGACATGCATACCACACAGGCAGACATGGTGTTATGTGCTTGTATCTCCATTCTGTGGGGTGCACTCAGGCCACTTCTTGGGCTAAGCTAGCCAGTTTACTTAGCCTGAATGATGAGCTCCCATCCAGTGAAGGAATCCTGTATCAAAACAAGGGGGTTGGTTCCTGAGAAACCACACTCAAGATTGACCTCTTGCTTCCACATCACATACACACATGTGCACTTAGTTGTAAATACATGAGCATGCACACACATGCATATATAAGCACACAATATAACTTTCTATCCTTAATTGGATTGCTTTATTATTTTACACTGGTGTAGTGTAGATTAGGGATGTAGCTTTACTTTGATGTCTCTAAAAAGCACATGCTCCATCTTGAAAAATGAGTGTCTGTTGCTAGTCACTGAAGTCAGTACATTCTCACGTTCTCTTATCTGTTCCTTTTCCTGTGGATGTGAAGTGAAGTCCTTCGGGGAATGTGAAACCTCATTTTGCTGGCCTGGTTTATTTAGATCCTGAACCTTCCACTCTTGCTGCAGTTTTCCTGGTAAATCCTCCCCTGACTGTTCCTTAGCTTAGTAGGTCCTCGTACTTGCTCCTCACTCTCACTGCACCTGCTAGTAAGTATCATAGGTTTCATCCACTTGCTCTTTTTATTCTGAGAGACCTGTTCTTGCTATCACCCCCTGTCACCCACCTCCACTCTTCTACCCACACAAAATCAGTTCAGCTTAACTCTGCATTACTATCAATGCAGTAATTCAATGCTGAAAGTCTTGTTGTATTATTCACTACCTGCATCAATTTATTGTTGCTTTCTATTACTTGACTTAAGAGATACTCAAGGACTCTGGTAGGGACTGAACAGTTAGTGAGCAATCAAGGCTTACCAAAGAGTGAGGAATCTGTTGACCCTTTTACTCTGATAGCCTTGCAGAGAGTTTAACACAACCCTCCCCCCCAACACACACAATGATGTCATTGTGTCCTCTGCTTCCATTCTGCAGTCATTACTAAATCTAAATGGGACTTAAATATCAGTAAATGGATTGGAGTACATTAAGAAGTATGCCCTCTCTCTGCCTAGGCCTTCTTCTACTTAGGTTCCTAGACATTCCTTTTGGTTGCTTATTCTTGCCTTTTCTTTCTTTGCTGTGGGAAATTTTAAACACTGTGAAGATAAACTACAACAGAAACTCCACATACCTGTCACTTATGTTCATTTCTTTTTTGTTGTTGTTGTTTTGTTTTGTTGAGTCAGACTCTTCCTATAGCTCCAGCTGGTCTGGAAATTGCTATATAGAAAAAACTGATTTTGAGCTCACAGAGATCCTCCTGCCTCTGCTTCTTTAGTGCCACAATGCCCAGCACTCTTTTTATTTTTTAAAGTAACCATTAAGCCCTGTTATGCTATCCATTCATAACAATTTTAACACTAAATTTTTGAGCATGTGATCCTTTTTCTACCCAAGTGCAAAGTATTCTGACACCCAACAAACTAATAATTATCCCTTGTTTGAACCAATAATCCATAATCCAATCTTCAAGGTTTTTCCAAAGCATTTGGGATTTTTGAACTGCATGAATGACAATCCACATTATGTTTATGTAGGTCTTTGAAGTCTGTTCTGAAACAACCATCTTCCTTTGTTTTCCATGCCTGGGATTTGTTGCTGGGACCACGCTTATCATCTTACTTCTGGCTTGCACATGTGCAGTGTCATTTGTTTCCCTAAGCCTGAAAAGGATTGATTCAGTTCAAATCATGTAGGTACGACTCCTCCATAGCTAGTGTTCTGTGTGCCGGGCTGCATACACATATTAGCAACATAGTAAATCATTTTACTGATTCTACACCCAAATATCAGATAACACTTGCTGAGTACAGTCCAATCCTTTATGAGTACTCAAAATCTTTCAACCAGTGATCTAAGCCAATTAATCTAACAGGATATGGAAAGTAAATTTTTAATTTGATCATTTTCTGCCAATGAACTTTTGATTGTTCTGAAATAGCTTGTAGAGGCAAGATAGGGGTAAATTGGATAAATGCTGACTTTGCATTGACAAGCTATTAAAGTCTTAGTGACTATATTTCTAGATATTGTATGATTTTTGTCTCATTGTGCATTTTACTTTGCTTTTGTCCTTTCTCTCTATATACATATATGCATACATACATTTATATGCATATGTACATCCTCTCTCTTGTGAATATTATTCTTAGGAATTCAAATTTTCATGGTTCAAAATATTTTAGTTGCCATATTATTCTTTTGATACTCAAATTGTCCTGTCTAGTGAATTTGAACTGGAGATATCAAGTATGGATTCTTAATTTAGATTATCGTTTTTTGTTTTCTTGCTTTTTTGATATAGAATATCCCTGCTGCCCCAGTTGGCCTAGAATTTTCTATGTAGACCAGTCTGGCTTTGATCTCTCAGAGATCTCCATATCTCTGTCTCCTGTACTGGGACTAAAGGTGTGAGCCACCAATTAATAAATTATTTCTTTTCTATAATCCACTGGTATAGCGGGATAGTAACATAAGCACTCTGTATGTCTTTCCATACCATACCTTCCAAACAATGCCAATAGTACTATGAACAATAAAATAAATGAATTTATGATTTCATAGCATTTATTTTTGACTTTACATATCGTTAAAGGGGAATCGAATTAGTATGCTATTTTCAAACACAATTTGAAGTATTTTTTATTTACAATTATCTTATAAATTTGATCTATGTAATGAGTTCACCTTCCCGTTTGATTTTCTGCACTCTAAAATGAAGAGTAGATATGTGGTTCTACAATGAAAATCATATTTTTTGACAGGGTCTCATTATTCCCAGACCACTTGGAAGTCACTATGTGGATCAGGCTGACCTCAGTCACACAGAGATCCACATGCCTCTGCTTCCCAAAGAGTGAGATTCAAGGTGCACACTGCTACACCTGGTGAAAATCATTTTTAATGTCATATTTAAAGAGATTGTACTTCCATCCATGTGCTTTTCATTATGTTCTGGTACTTTTTTGCATTGTATTTTTTCTTTTTTTTTTTCTACCCCTACCTCCTTACCCCCCCCCCCCCCCCCCCCC